GTTTTTCAGATTTTTTTTTGTATTATGTGAATGTTTTAAAATATGCATATCTAATTCGTTTGATGTCGGAATAACATGTGGTTTTCTCCAAAGTGTAGCATAGAGTTTATACATGATTTTAGACTATAATTTTGTCATTTTAATTTCATATTCATTGATTTACATTCCCCAAAGTTAGGATACCAAAGCTGTGAGTTTTCTGTTTTGTAGCTTTATTCTTATATTTTGTGAAATTTTAAAAACGCATATATCGAATTTGTTTGAAGTCGGATTAACATGAGGTTTTTTTCAACGTGTATTAGAGTTTGTACATGATTTTAAACTATATTTTTGTCATTTTTGGTTTCACATTCATTGACTTACAGTCCCCTAAAGTCGGGATATCAAAGCTGTGAATTTTCTGTTTTTCAGCTTTATTTTTATATTTTGTAAAGTTTTAAAAATGCATATCTAATTTGTTTGAAGTCGGATTATTATGCTGTTTTTTGCAACATGTAGTTTAAAGTTTGTGCATGATTTTAAATTATAATTTTGTCATTTTTGGTTAAATATTCAATGACTTACAGTCCCCCAATGTTAGGATATCAAAGTTGAAAATTTTCAAAGTTCAACCACTAAGTAATAACCAAAAAAATTCGGATTTGACGGTTTTTCCGGTTCTAAACCCACTTTACCCTGTACCTTACCCGGAACCGGTTCCTATATACTGACCTGGTTTTCAATCCTACAAAATATCGTTAACCGGTTCCCGGGTCCGGGTCTACTGGTTCGGGTTTGGACCCACCCTCATCCCTACGAAGAAACATCTTTACCGAACAAAATCCAAACCACCATACATTTTGATCAAACTAATCTTCATGGGACACTTAACCAAACTATCCTTTTATATGTGGTGTTGTTTCCTTAAAATATTAGATGTATAAATATCAATTATCTAGTTGTAAGATTCGTATATTATATGGTTTAATTATAAAAAATTATATATAAAGGTCTAAATATTTAAAAACTTTGAATTTACAAGAAAATAAGAAAATAATGAATTATTAAAATTGAAATGATTTTTTATCTTTTAAATTTAAATAAATAAACAAAAAATAAATAATGAACTTTAATTTAGAAATTTTGAAATTAGAAGTCAAGTCTATTATTACATTTATTGTAATTATTAAATTAAAATATTATGTGAAATTTAATAAATAAATAAAAAAACTCATAAAATAACATGTGAAAAAAAAATTAATTCAAAATAACTACAAAATTACAATTTATATTATATGTAACAAAAAAAACTATTCATTTACTTAATAATTATACATATAGTTGGAACCCTAAAGTTTTGAATATTCACAATATTGAACCTTAAAGACTTATGAAATGGCCCATTGGACCAACATGTGATTATCTAAATGAATTTGATGTAAGGATGACAAAAATACACAAACCTATCTTTTTGAGACAAGTTTTTATCTTTTTGAGACGAGTTTTGAATAGATAAATGGTAAGGGTTTTTCTAAACAAAATTTACGCCTTAGAATGATTATGGCATTATAGTTATACTCTCATGATTACCTGACCTCGGAACCATTTATTTTTCAAAATATTTATACTTTTACTATTGACATATATGATCTGAAATAAATATTTATACTTTTACTATTGACATATATGATCTGAAAATTATATCGTGAGACTATATGTTTTATTATAAATATAAGGTTTGTTGTGTTATTACTACTTACATCCTAACCCATAACATTAACTTAAGATACCTATTAATCAAAAGTTGATTTTAGAAATTGAAATTATTAAACTTTACAGAGTGATATGGTTGTAAACTTATATGTACGTAACATTTGTTAAAATTGTTAAAACTCATATTTTGGACTAGATTATGATTAAGTTTTAGATAATGAAAATTCCAAAGGTTAACTGTTTAAACCATCAAGATCATAAATTTGGGTACTTTACCTAACCTATGAACTGAATAGTTTTAATTAACCAGGTACCCGACTTTTGTAATTGGTTTAACAATTTGCCACACATTTTGTAGTAAATTTTATCTTGTATCAAGATTAGATATTTATATGACAAAATACAGAAAAACAGAAGCTATTATGTATCTACGTATGAAAGAACACATTATATTTTACCTATTGATTTATCCCCATTTCCGGTAAAAGTCTATTTAATGAGTTTCATTTAAGTAGTATGACAATTACATGTAATGTGGGTGGGTTATTCGAAATCATGATGCTAAATTTTAGGGGATGATGAGAGTGTATTAAAAAGGTATAAGCTTCCTATCTGGCCATGACTCTATCCTCTCAAAATACTTGACAGGGACAACACCCTCAAAACCTTCTGTTAAGATCACCTTGTTGTCCGATATGTAAAGCTTCATCCCCCCTGCCAAATACTTTCTCCATCACTATGGGGGCAAATAGGTAATTTTCATCTTGAAAAAGGAAACCTAATTCAATAAGTGAGTAGTGACTAGTACCTTCAATAGCTTTCCTAATATCAAGAAATATCAACACGTTCACATCCCTCCTCATTCCTACAACAATACAAGCAGAAGCAATAACAAATTCTCAACCAAAAGGTTAAACGCAACAACATACTTTCATCAATTAAATTGGTTTATTAATTTATACCATCCTACACTACTTTCATTTCTTTGTTTTGAAAACCTATGCGCTATAATTGGGTAAATGTTTTCAAACTAGTATATATAATGAATGTCCTAATAACAAGTTTTTGTTGTAATAGCAAGAATCGGAAGTATGATGAGAAATTTTTACCACTAATTACTTCACCATCGGTTGGTAATCCAGAAGAGAAATGGACATGTAGCCTTTGCATGCTTTTAAGACCAGTCTCCAATATTGATTTTAAATTCTTTCTGTAGGTTCCATGCACACAAACTGGACATCAAAAAAACATCAACACAAACATTAAGAAAAAAAAAATATATATATATATATATATAAAATGTCATTACCAGGAAATTCTTCAGGTGAGAGGATGGGTTTAAGTAAACTCTCTGTCTCAACCAACTGCCAACCCAACCAACAGAGTAATTATTATTTATTAAAAAGAGGATGCAAGAAATAGCAATATAGTTTCAAAGTAACAAATGTATAATGCTATAATATAGAAATCAATGAAAGTACATTGCCATCTGTTTGCATAAGATAAAACCCTAAAGAATAGATAATTGTTTACATACCGTTACAGTATGACCTTGGTTTGCACGAATCAAAAGCTCCCCATTCTCTTCAACCAAGCTAAACCTCTGTTTATTGTCCCTTCTCACAGCCTAAACCACACATTACAAATTTACAACCAACAACAAAAATTCAAGTTTTTTTCTTTCTTATCGTTAACATAATGTGGAAAATACATATAATTAATTATCTCTTATTACTAAAAGAAGAGCAGAATGAAGATGAAAAAAAAAAAGTGAGGAAAACCTCCTTAATATCATCGATTGTATGAGAAGTTATTGGAACATTGGCAAATGTTTTCATGTTGAGTCTTAATAGATCTTCAACTTTTACATATCCATCACTCCTCATATTTAACTTCAGCTCAGAAGCCATATGTCGCAGGATACGGGTCCTACAAATTTGATGGAAATAAATAATTTTCAATGAGAGCCTACTTTCTGCTATCATTTTGCAAAAAACAACTGTAGCATATAAAGTATTCAACATAGAAAAAAAAAAAAAAAAAACTATCTTTTTAAAACTTAGAAAAGATTCATAATGCTTACAAGAGCCTGCCAAGAGCATCAATTCTATCTTGCCCACCTCCACCTCGGCCCCTTGACCTTCCATGGCTTTCTGTCATTGATGAACCTCTACCTCCACCACCACTGCCGCCAAATTAAAAATTACACATATGGTCATTTAGAGTAAACAATTTTAAATTAATCAACCAAATTTTTATCATCAGGTTCTAAAACTAGGCTTTGCATCAACACAGAATCCGTCTATCTGCATGTCTTGTTATTTGGTTTGTGGTTCATGAAGGTGTACACAAACTTTCAGGAGTTTTGTAGGTTAGTAGCAATAGAATTGTAGTTGTTTCTTTTTCTCATGCATTTTGTTATCAAGATAGGTGAAAGCGAATTATTTCTTAAAATATAACTGAAAAATTCTCGTACTCTGCAATTACAAGTTCATTGAAAAGGAAATCTAACAAGTAACAACTTATGATAATCTTTTCTCCTACTCTAGTGCAATGCTGAAATTAGAATAACTAAGATATACATACAAACTGCAGCTGTAATCTTTTATTTTACAACTAGCTGGTTAATGTTACAGAAGTTGCTTGTTTTGGGGGAGGGTAATTTAAGATGTTGAAATGTCATGGATGTTGATCTGTGTTTTTTTTTAGTCAGAATTCTTATTTCTTCAATCTTCAAATATTGTATCCATAAGAGGCTAATTTCAGCTATGTTTCAGTATATGCCCATACTAATGATCACATTCAGAGTTCCGGCACATCTTATTAAAACCATAAGGAAAAACTGAGTCTGCAATTCAGACATGAATACCTAATTTTATATAACATACTGTGTGCTTAAACAGTAATCTGAACGATAAACAAGAAGACATGTAAAACACCAAATCAATCCATCAAACAATTTGGCGTTGGACGTATAAACCACTGCTATTGCACAAAATCTAAATGTCATCTAATTAATAAAACTAAAAACAACAGGCTTAATTATTTCAAAACATGGCTTTAGAGAGATGTACCTTCTCGAAGAACGAGCAGAGGTGGAGAAAGATGAGCTTCCGTGACTGTTACTGTTAATGGAATCCATGATGGAGGTTAGGGCATGAAACTTGATGACTAGAGAGTAGGAAGAAGAAGAAGAAGAAGAAAAACAGAAGTGGCGCAGGATTCCTAACGTATTGCTGGCAAGGGTTGCGATCATTGGTGGTCAGCGGTGGCGTTTTGCCCAGACTCCCGTCACGCGTGCGGATATTTCACGCTCTTTTTATTATAATGGCATCCATTCTGGACCCTGAAGAATTAAATATTTACAAAATATAATTTTAGAACCCATGCATTGCATCGAAAGAAAAGTCTTGTAACTTGACGAGGAAAAGATAAAAACAAACATAAAAGTCTTTGAAGCATAAACACAAAGTAGAATCCCTGTGAATTTTATTAACGTGAAGCCCTAATTCTTTTATTCAGATTTTTTCCTTTACAACAGATCTCCCAAAAGTAGAATCCCAGCGAATTATCAATCCCAAAAATTTGAGCCCTATGTCTACTACGAGACAACTCATATCGCAACATCTTGAAGCTCTAAGATTTATAAACCGAGCGTAAAGTATTCAATTAAAGGAGAAACAATAATTACAGAGTGTTTGGCAAAGCTTATTTAAAAAGGCTTTTAACTTTTTGACTTGTAACTTATAGCCACTTCAAAACAGAGTTTTTAAATAGAAACGTTATAAGTTGACAAGTGATTTTTAGTGTTCAGCAAAAAAAAAAAAAAAAAAAAAAAAAAAAAAAAAAAACAGCTTATATGTGCAAAATTACCATAAAGACTTTCGGCTTAAGCTTATTTTTTGATATTTCACAATCATCAAGATTAACATTATTGGTGTCCATAACCTAAATTGCATTCACGGTATCATTTAAGCTTTACAATTGAAACACAAACACATGCACATTCAAGGTATCATATAAGCTTCACAATTAAAGCACAAACACTACACGTTCAAAGACATTTCATTCAAAATCAGATTTCACTTACAAAGGTAAACTACACATTAAAATCAGGTATGAATTCACATTTCAAGGTAAACTACGCCCTTGAATAAATAAAATCGACAGCAGCACAATTCCAAATCCATAGGACAGATGGAAAAATCGACAGCATGGAAAATTCAGAGAACCAAAAAAACAAAAGAGAAGAAGAAGAAGATTGACAGAAACGCATGAAACGCAGACAGAGAAAGAAAAAAAAAAAAAAAAACGACATTAGCAGAAACGCATGAAAGCAGGCAGAGAAAACGAAAAACGAACCTTTATTGTGGGTTCGAAGGAACAGCACCTTATCGATTTTTGCTTCAGGAGTCCACAACAGAAGCAGCGATGGCCGATGGAGGCGAATGTGGATGTATAAGGATATTAGGCACTGTTTTGAAAACCGGACCGGACAGGAATCCAGTTTTATTAGCCTAAAAAACCGTCAGTTTATGAACCGGAAAAAACCGTCGGTTTAGTCAAAAACCGGTCAGAACCGACTTAATTGAACCAGCCAAAACCGGATTTCACAAAATATAAAAATTAAAAAGACTATTGGGTCCATTAAATAGAAACAAGCCCATTTTAGTAACATGGCCCACTGTCTTTGAGTTGGACGCCAATACTACTAACAAATGCTTGGAGTGGGAGAAGTTTATATAATGAAGGCAAACCTCCATACTTCTTTTACATTTCATCGATGTGGGCTTGTTTCCATTCTTCTTTGTATCTTATTACTTATTATTTATATAGCTGTTCTTTTTTTTTTTTATCAATTCATTTTAAAGATGAAACCTGCCATATTTCCTTTCAACTTTTAACTCTTAAAAGATTTCTTTTCATATGGACAAATGGTAATAAAAAACCATTTGATATTGTGGTAAACTGGTGAAAACAAACCAGAAGAGAGCCACTCATAAACAATGGAGTTAGCAAAATGCATCAATATATGAAGTAATAGATGAAAAAAAATGCATGAACAGATGAAGTAACAGATGAAAGACCCAAAGTTCATCAATACTCAAGAACTAAAATCTTTGTACCTGAGGTTGTTTACCAGGTCCTAGAAGTGCAAGTTACATCAATTTCATCTCCTTCTTCACCAAATTTGTTATGCTAGCTAACAGGGAACAAAATGAAACAAACTACAACCAACATCAGTATAAATAAATGCAGATGACATAAATAAAGAGTTCAGTGGTCTAATTTGAAAAAAAAAAAAAAAAAAAAAAACTTTTTAATTTAAAAAAAAAATTTAGTTTTAATTCAATTAAAGAACAAACTAAAGGACCAAATAAAGCAGAAATGGAGCAACAAAATTCAAAAGTAATACATTATTTGACCAATAACATTATAGTACATAAAAATTAAAAATAAAAATATCAAATAAAATCAGCCAAAAAAGTCAAAATCTCATAAAAATGCAAGAGTTATCATAAAACAGATTGATAAAAGAATGATAATTATATATGATTTTAGTTGAAGAGTTATCATAACACAGATTGATAACTCTAATGATAAAAAAGTCACAATCTCTAAAACAGATTTATAATAACACAGATTGATAAAAAAAAAAAAGTCACAACCTCTTAAAGAGTTATGCGTTGAAATCATGAGAAACAGCAATTAACTAATAATAGCCCATGGATCTTGATAAAACAATGATAACCAATATGATTTCTTAACCAAGTAAGATTCATAAAATCGAAACTTGAATAAAAAAAACATACTTGGATTTGAGAGGCAGATGGAGAGGAAAAGAACGTGAGCTGGTTTGATTACAATACCTGCAATAATCGACATTTTCAAAATATATTGTGAATCAAAACCTCATGACAATCAACCAGTCAAGGACAACAATTCTAATCAGTCCAAGTAATTACAAGAATACGCTAGGAAGAAATACTAACCTTGAGATGATTTCAATCGATAATAGCTTAAAAAAATGGACAAGATTGTTACAAGGGAACCCCGTCTTACCGATTACAGACAACTACAATACACACAACAAGAAATACTATCAGGTGAACGATTGAGCCGAATGATAAAAAAAGATATTACATAACATATGAATCTTACCGATTGGTGGTTGTTGAGGCGGCAGGCGGTGAAAGTCGTGAAGGGAGGAGACCAAAGATGAAGGTCGTCAAGCGAATCGCCCGATGAGAGAGACAACGATCGAAGGAATCCGGCGGAGCAAGCTTCATCTACATCGGCTGGAAAGTGAAGAACGGAGGATCGAAGCAACGACCGTCAAGAGAATACAACGATGGAATGAATCCGGCGGAGCAAGCTTCATCTTCATCAACTGGAAAGTGAAGAATAGAGGATCGAAGCAGCGGGCATAAAGGTAGGAGGCGGGAGTGGGTGCGATACAATGAAAGAGAAGGGGGAAAGTGAAAATGAGATACCAACACCTTACCGAAAGGCCAGGGATGCCATTACTATGTATTTTTGGTCAATTATGTATTTTATACATGTTTAAAAAAAATTAAAAAAATGCTCGGAAGACGATTCGAACTCAAATCTAAAGCACACTCGACCAAACAATTTACCACGAATGCCACATCTAAGGATGATGTGCCTTCAATTAATTTTAAACACTTTCTTATTATTATTATTATTATTATTATTATTCGAGTATAAAAACCTTTTTTTGGATCATTTTTTACATATTATTATTATTATTATTTCCATATTATTATTATTGTTACTCTCATTATTATTATTTTTCATTATTCGAGTATTATTTTTTTTTTTTGATAATTTTCTTACACATTTAAGACACGACCAATTAACAATCATACTAATAGTGCTAATAATAATAATACTAATAAATATCATAATAATATATGATAACTGTAACGAATGTGTTCAACACACAAACAAACGATTAAACGAAAAAATACATTTAACACATCAATAAGATGATGATGATGATGATGGTGATGTTGATGGTGATGATGATGGTGATGTTGATGTTGATGCTGATGATGATGTTGATGGAGATGGTGATATTGACGGTGACGGTGAGGGTGATGGTGATGGTGATGGTGATGCCGATGGTGTGATGGTGATGATAATGGTGATGGTGATGGTGATGGTAATGATGGTGATGGTGATGGTGATGGTAACGGTGATGGTGGTGATGGTGATGGTGATGGTGATGGTGATGGTGATGGTGATGGTGATAGTGGTGATGGTGATGTTGATGATGATGGTGGTAGTGGTGATGGTGATGGTAATGGTGATGATGGTGATGGTAATGGTTGTGATGGTGATGGTGATGGTGATGGTGATGGTGATGATGGTGATGGTAATGGTGGAGATGGTGACGGTGATGGAGATGATGGTAGTGGTGATATTGATGGTGATGGTGATGGTTGATGTGATGGTGATGGAGATGGTAATTGCGATCGTGATGATAGTAATGGTGATGATGATGGTGATGGTGATGGTGATGGTGATTGTGATGATGATGGCGATGGTGATGGAGATGATGTTTATGATGGTGATGGTGATGATGATGGTGGTGGTGGTGATGATGATGATGATGGTGATGGTGATGGTGATGGTGACGGTGATGTAGATGATGATGATGATGATGATGATGGTGATGGTGATGATGGTGATGGTGATGGTGATTGTGATGATGATAGCGATGGTGATGTTGATGGTGATGGAGATGATGTTTATGATGGTGATGGTGATGATGATGATGGTGGCGGTGGTGATGATGATGATGATGATGGTGATGGTGATGGTGATGTAGATGATGATGATGATGATGGTGATGGTGATTGTGATGATGATGGCGATGGTGATGTTGATGGTGATGGAGATGATGTTTATGATGGTGATGGTGATGATGATGGTGGTGGTGGTGGTGATGATGATGATGGTGATGGTGATGGTGATGGTGATGGTGATGGTGATGGTGATGATGATGATGGTGATGATGATGATGGTGATGGTGATGGTGATGGTGATGGTGATGGTGATGGTGATGATGGTGATGATGGTGATAGTGATGGTGATGGTGATGGTGATGATGATGGTGGTGATGATGATGATGGTGGTGGTGATGATGGTGGTGATGATGATGATGGTGGTGGTGGTGATGGTGGTGGTGGTGATGATGATGATGATGGTGGTGGTGATGGTCGTGGTGATGATGATGGTGGTGGTGCTCATGATGTTGATGATGGTGATGATGATGATGATGATGATGATGGTGATGGTAATGATGATGATGATGGTGATGCTGGTGATGATGATGTTGATGATGATGATGATCATCATCATGTAGGTATTCGTGTTTGTGAGATGTATGTGAACGTATTCATAAAAATTATAGTATTAAACCATTAAACGAGTAATGGATCTCGTATGCGCACACGACTTTATGAACGATATTAATAGTTATAAGTTAGTGAAAATATAGATAATCATGTATAGTAGAGGTGTGAAAAAAACGAAACCAAAAAAACGACGTTTGGGGCCCGAAAAATCGAAAACAAGAAAAAATTTGTAGCTAATTAGCTACGGATTAGCTACGGAATTCTAACAGAAAGCATATTCCGTAGCTAATCCGTAGGTAATTAGCTACGGATTTGCTACAGAATATGTTTTCCGTTAGAATTCTGTAGCTAATCCGTAGCTAATTCCATAGCTAATTAGCTACGGATATTTCTTATTTTCGATTTTTCGGGTACCAAACGTCGTTTTTTTCCGTTTCGTCTTTTTCACACTTCTATTATACATGATTATCTATATTTTCACAAACTTATAGCTATTAATATCATTCATAAAGTCGTGTACACATACGGGATCCATGACTCGCTTAATGGTTTAACACGCTTATGATATACATTCACATATAAATACGCACAAACACGTATACATACACACATACACGTACACATATACCACAACTTTTTCATGTATGTGAATATACATATACAAAAATAAATTCATCACAATTTGGTGAAAAGTATAGTAATTACATTGTTAAAATTGTGAAATGAATACTTGATCTCGAATGTGCACACGACTTTATGAATGATATTAATATCTATAAGTTGGTGAAAGTATAGATAATCATGTATAGTAGAGGTGTAAAAAAAACAAAGCGAAAAAAATGACATTTGGTGCCCGAAAAATAGAAAATAAAAAAAATTCGTAGCTAATCCGTAGCTAATTAACTACGGATTAGCTACATATTTTTCTTATTTTTTATTTTTCGGGCATTAAACCTCGTTTTTTTCTCTTCGTTTTTTTTCCACCTCTATTATACATGATTATCTTTATTTTCAACAACTTATAGTTATTAATAGTGTTCATAAAGTCGTTTGCGCATTCGAGATACTTTACTCATTTAATGGTTTAATATTGTATCTGTAGCTATTCCGTAGCCATTTTGTAGCTAATTAGCTACGGAATAACTACGGGTTAACATCCGTAACTATTCCGTAGCTAATTAGCTACGGAATAACTACGGTCTAGCATCCGTAGTTATTCTGTAGCTATTCCGTAGCTAATTAGCTACGGAATAACTACGGAATAGCATTTGTAGTTATTCCGTAGCTATTCCGTTACTAAATTAGGGCGTCCCATTATGTAGCTAATCCGTAGCCATTCCGTAGCTAATTAGCTACGGAAATTTTCCGTAGCTATTATCCGTAGGAAAAGACCCTTTTTTCTAGTAGTGATATATATATATATATATATATATATATATATATATATATATATATATATATATATATATATATATATATATATACTAGCCGTTTACCCGCGCTAAGCGCCGGGCGGCAAAGAGTTTCTTTCGGAAGATAGTTTTAATGCGATGATTAGTTTCCTTTAGACGTGAGCTATTCTTTGCGGCCATTTGGTAGATTATTTTGTGTTGAATAGTTAATTTCAACGGATAGTTTCTTGTTAGGTGCATAATCATACAATATGACTGAAGTTGAGTCTACATTTGGAATTTCATTTAATAGTTCATACTTGATTTTACAATATATAAAAAACAACAATTTGCAATCAAGTAGTCATTTAGATTTATAACATGTCCAATATATAAATTACACAAATCCACAATCATGTTGCTTCATCTGCTATCCGTGCATTAAACATCAAATGAGCATCAAAGATACATATTTGAAGAAATTGTAAAATAATAAGTTGTTGATTGTACCTTTTTAGTCACATAAAACTTCTTTGTACACAACGTTTAATGTGTAGATTCCATCATTATCAAACGTTTTTTCCGGCTTTGCTAATACCTTAGTATTGACACGTGATATTCCTCTGGATAACGTCACATAAAATTGGTCATGTGAGAATACCGATTCTGGAAGATAAACACCTACATTTGGACTAATACATTTGAGCTCTAATAATCGGCAAGAGTGATGCGAAATTAATACAATTTAGGTTTTATAATCTTTACAACACCCATTCTGAATATATTCCTATGTACATGTATTGTTTCGTTTAATTATATTGTTTAAATTGTGCATTTCAAATCAAATTAGATAGTTGGGAGCTTTAGCCGTATTAGGTGACATATAGGAATAGGATTACATATTGGTTAATTGGTTGAAATCCATTACGATGACTTTAGAACTATATTAAATAGTTTGGAACTTTAGCCGGATTAGGTGACATATAGGAATGGAATCATATATCGGCTAATTGGTTGAAATTCATTACGATGACTTTATAATTATATCATACCAAAATAGTGTTTTTCCCTATTGAGTACAATTAAAATATGTGAGACTTACATAACAAATTAGTGGACTCGTTGTTATTAGGTCAGTGTACTGAAATCGGTTATCCACTTTTGGAACCAAACCTAATGCAAAATCGACAATTCTTGAACTGGAACTTACGGGTTCTTATTCTTTACATTTTAAAACTACCACCCTTCTACTTTATATCTATCTCAACTCCAAAATCTATCTTTAAGATATCTATAAAACAAATGCTATTTTTGTGTACTCTTATTATGTGGTGATGATTAATAGGAAAGAGTGAAAATATTAATTTTTTTCTAAATTAAGATGTCAAGTTAACATGAATAATTATAAAATCCGTTATCAAGATAATCCACACAATCATTTATTCTGATTAAAACTTGTACTTTGCAAAATCATACATAAAATAAATAATATGTGACATTTTTTCTTAAAGTTTTGAGATGCTCTACCACATTCACATAGACATTTTAAAGTGAATAGTCAACCATTTTGAGGTTTTGGAAGGAAAAAAGAAAACAACAGTAAACATATCTAAAACACAAAATGTGGCTAATACCTTACATTTTAAGAAACACAAACTTAAATGTTTTAAGCTAATCATCTAATGTCAAAATTAAAGACCATTCGATTAGAAACTCGCATGGGGTGAACCTGAAAACCCATAATACAACAAAAATATAGAACATGTTATCAGTTAAATTAAAAAAGAAAATACAGAGCATGAATACTAACAC